TGTCACAATATTTCAAAGAGATTTGGATCTGGCCTTTAACATCATTATTCTTCCTTTTGAGTCATTTCTTCTTCGTTGTGCTTGTTCGAAAGTCCAGTCAGATGGACTTTCTCATCATTTTCAAGCACAATTTGATAAAATGTAGAATTCCTAGTTGCACTTTTGACTGCTAGAACATTTCTACCACCATTCCTTTGAGTTGGCACGAGGTTTTAATAAAATGCTCTGCTGCAAGCACATCAAGTGCAATTCTGTCAATAGAGTTGTTACCATTTACTTGTGTTTACAAGTCTTGGCTATCTTATCTTTTCTGGATGCTTTAGGGTTGATGTAATTGTCTTGTTACTTGAGTCTCCTGTGAAGTTACTGGTGACTTCAGGTTTAGTGTGTGTGTGTGTGTGTGTGTGTGTGTGTGTGTGTGTGTCCATCCATTCTGTTCCTTTCATCAGTCTCATTTCTGTTGTATTTTGTGTTTCAAAGTTAGTCTTATGCTCACTTCCATTAATCCTGCTCACCCCAAACAGCTGATGGCCTCTCTTTCTAGAGCCTGGTTCTGCTTGGTTCTATTTGTCCTGTTAAAAGGGAGTTTGTCCTTCCCACTATCACAGAGTACTTGCACATTGTTTTTCATCTGATTTGGGGGTCTTCTCTCGCTTATTGTCGGGTCTTTACCTCACAATATACCGTTGTGATTTGGTGCTATATGATTTGAACTGAAACAATACACACAGCAGACTGACAGGGTTAAGGTTGACTGCATTTTGTTTACTTGTGTTGTCTTTGGCTAATATTTAAATGTGTTTGATGATATAAAACATTTAAGTGTGACAAACATACAAAATAATCAGAAATGATGAAGGGGTCAACACTTTCACACACCACTGTATGTATTTGGATACAGCATTTCTTCTTGATACATGCTTTCTTCCATGCAATATTCCAGCAAAATGTTCAAATATTTTAACATTTTTCACAAACAACAGCTTTCCCATGAAATCAAACCACGGTCACTTTAAATGGCTACTTCATCTACCTGAGAGTCTCTCAGCAGGATGTACAAAAAAGGAGCGTTTTCCTTTTCTAAGCTTGTTCCCCCCCCCCAGGATCTCATCAATCGTTACACTGCAGGTGATAAACTCCTGCCTTATTCTTCACCTCATCATCACGAAGCTTTTCATCAAGACAGACACAGTGAATCAGTTTTTGGTGAAAAAGATCTCCCCTGCGTCTACATCCCATTCTGGCTTGCCCCTCAATATGTCCTGCTTTAGTGATTTGTTTTCCTTCCACTCGGTGAGGTCTCGTGATGCGATGGCCTCCCTCCAGAGGAATATTTCAGCAAGATCCTGCTGCTCAGAACACTGCTGCCCACACAAACACATTCCAGTCACTTGATGGACCAGACACGCACACACATACAGTGTCTCCTCTACCCTTAACCTCTCTTTACACTCTCTGTGTGTCACTGCAGAGCTTAACTGGCACACAGTTTGTGTGTGCTTGCTCATGCTGGGATTTGTTGTTTGTACTCTAGTGACCTAGATTTTTTTTTTTTTCTCTCCTTCAAACTTCCACTCTGAAGTTCATCAAACGAAAATTTTATATACAGAAAAATCATTCATACAAAAATATTCACAAGCTAGCTGTGTATACAGACTTTAACTTGCATTAAAAATAAATGAGCCTTCTCTCAGAAATCCAAGAATTGTTTCATCATCGCATTACTGATATTGGACGAGCTGTACCTTATTGCGTCACTCAGCCGTGATCATATATTTTTGATCTTTGGTGTGTGGGTTAGTTCATTTTTCCGGGTGTCAACTCTAATTTTTCATTTCAGTCTAATTGTTCTCATCAGCATCACTGGCAGCTGCATGTAGAAGCAACAAGGAGCTGTTTTCAAGCAGCAGCTTTGAAAATGTGCTGTATGCATACCTATGCAGGTGAAAACGGCACGCACACAAAGTTTTGGGACTGTAAGTTGTTTTTTAATGTCCGCTTTCTCTCTGTAGTCTATTTGTAGTATTGATCAATGAACTTTGAGCATGCTTTGAATGCCAAAGTGCTTCTCGAAACCATCAGCTGTCATCTTATGAGGACTGACCTCAAACCCAATTGGTATCCAAATATGTAGTTCTTTACTTTTTGCTTTGTTTTTAAAATTGCTCTCCCAATTTCAAAAGTTTACCTGACTTCAAAACGATCCTAATGTTTTCATTATGATCAGAAAATATGTAAGTAACTGTTACCACATTTAGAGAATATATTATTGCCCTCCATGAATCAGCTGAAGCCTATCTCAGCTACCATAGCTGAGCCTGGACAGGATGTCAGTGTAATGCAGGGCTTTCATTAATTGATTGGTTGATCAAATGGTAAAGAACTTGTATTTGACTATTAATTTACATGCATCCTTTTATATGTACTATTCAGTATTTGGCATTTGCAAATGCAGATCTTATAACAGAGAAACTGAGAGGCCAAAATCCTTGTTATAGACTTTATTGTAAAGCTGACACCTCCTATAGCTTGTGAAACTTTGCCTATCTGGAATTCTGGCATGAAACTTAAAAGCAACTGAACTCTATCCCTAAATAGTTCCCTGGTGCAGGTTATTTCCACTGAGGTAAAAGTGGTGCCTTGTGAAAATCATAACTGTGTTTTAATTAACAGCTGAAAAGCAAAGAGAACTAATTGTCCTTCACATCTCAATAAGCTCCCACTGTGGCTGTTACTATTGCTCACAGCTGCTCTTAGTGTCAGAGCAGAGCAAGACAACATCTTGAGAAATGTTTGATTCTCATTCAGAAAACTGTTTATTTTTATCAGATAAGTGGGAATCACGCTTATCCACAGTTTATTAGAGGAGTTCCAGGTAGAAAGAAAAGGGATAGCAGTTTATTTACAAGACAACTGTGAAGAGTATTGCTTTTAAAGTGTTTTTACTCATAAAATGACACTTCTCCGTCCCTTGCAGAGAGACCGCCCAGCAGTCTCTCCAGATCTACAACCACTCTGCAGTCCAGGTGAGTGGCACTTATACGATTTAAAGTTGCATCCTGTGACGTATCGCTGCACTTGTGTAACCCCCGAGTGGAGGCTCCTTCTGTGTTATAGTGTTGAGGTGATGTCCCGCCATTCTCTCTGAGGCTTTTAGCCTCTGTTGCAGCTCCTGTGCCTGCTGCTCAGCCTTGCGTGCAGCTTTGCGGGCGTTCCTCAAGGAACGCTTCACCTTGCGAACTCGCTCCTTCAGCTGCCGGTTCCTCCTTTCCGCTGCAGCCAACCGCTCCTGCAATTTCCGGCCTCGTTCCTCCTCCTCAAACAGTGCAGCCTGCACCGAGGAGCACAGCAGCTGGGGGTAAGGATGAAAGAAAGTGATGTTAGTTAGCATACGTGAAGGCTTGTTGTCTTAAGTGTCTGACAAACTGTTGTAGACTTCCAGCTGCTATCTCGTCAGCTAGATGTGTAGAGTGGGAGCTCTAC